AACAATAACAGAATTGAACTGATTGTTCTAACAATATAAAACACAAGTTTTGCGTGTTTTCTAACAACACAGATGACGTGCGATTTTCAATTCAAAATTGTGTCTAGTTAAATACATTTTTGTGTTGTGAAGTCACATTTTTATTATATGTATGCAGATTGTATAAAGTTCAACAGGTTTGTTTTGAATTTCGTGCAAAGCTATACGAAGACTATCTGCGCTAGCCGTCCCTAATTTAGCAGTGAAGGACAAGAGGGAAGGCGGCTAGTCATCACCACTCACCGCCAACTCTTGGGGCCACTCTTTTACCAACGAATAGTGGGATTGACCATCACATTATAACGCCCCCACGGCTGAAAGGGCGAGCATGTTCTGTGGGAAGAGGATTTGAACCCGCGACCCTTAGCTTGCGAGTCGAGCGCCCTAACCACCTGGCCATGCCGAAAGTTCAACAAAAAGGCTGTTCACCAGTATTTTGCTGTTTTATTGGCCCACAATGATTTGTTATTTTTAACACAAGCTTTCTACAGTGTTGGTATTTTGTCGTGAGGCTCTTATTCTTTAAGCTTCCTAGTACCTCTCTTTTCTTCTGCCTGATATTGACACTGGGTGAATTGCTAAAACGTTTCTTATAAGTCCGTACGAATGGATCGGGCGTAGCCTGATTAGCACGTGTCGACTGTGAACTCAAGGGATCGCCCATTGCCACAAAAAAGATACTCCTAATTTTGGGTAATGGTGCGATATAAGAGTGGCATCAAATCTCAATTTTCGTTTAGGCAAGAGTTAGCGGTTGGCTCTGTTGACTAGCTACCTTCCTTGTGGGCTAACCATGGCCCAGTGGTTATTGTATCGGACTATGAATCTGAGGTTCCGTGGCTTGCCTCCATTTACTGCCATAAAATAAATAAAATCGCGCTCCTCACTTTAGGGCTGTGATGTTTTAAATCGAATTAAAAGGCCTCACAAGACTATCCCACGAGTTGGCGGTGAGGGGATCGACTAGTTTCCTTTCTTCTAGTCTGGCTTCTGGTGGCTCAGCTGTAAGTCGAGGGCTAAAAATCAGGTTTAGATGCCCGCGGTGGGCACAGCCCAGATTGCCCATCGCGTAGCTTTGCGCTTAACAACAAACCAACAGAAAAACCTTGTCTGTCAGTTTAAAATGAGAGCGGGCTATGCTCAGAAAGCCTTTTGTGCAAAAATTCTAAAAACTATCAAACCCATGGAGGCACTAAATTTTATTGATTCAGAACATGTCCTTTTTTTTAGTACTTGGAGTGTTGTTTAATTTAATATTTCAATGTATATTGTCCGTTGTTTTCATCGGTGAAACAAGCTGTCACATCCTCTCTTGTTTAGCATGTTTTTATCTGAAAAATATCTGCAAACATACAGTATTGTTTCTGTTTTGGTTGACACGGACTTGAGGTGTTACAGTATTGTTTCGTTATCACTGTCTGTTTTGTTTAGTTGATATCAATTGTGTTCTTGATCAAATTATTATTACTTCCTTTCTGCGTATTGTCTCTGTTTTGGTTGACGTGGACTCGAGTTGTTACGGTATTGTTATCAAGAACAGACAAACAGTGATAACGAAACAATACTGTAACAACTCAAGTCCACGTCAACCAAAACAGAAACAATACGCAGAAAGGAAGTAATAATAATGTGATCAAGAACACAATTGATATCAACTAAACAAAACAGACAGTGATAACGCAACCAAAACATAAACAATACGCAGAAAGGAAGTAATAATAATGTGATCAAGAACAGACAGACAGTGATAGCGAAACAATACTGTAACAACTCAAGTCCACGGCAACCGAAACAGAAACAATACGCAGAAAGGAAGTAATAATAATGTGACCGTGGACTTGAGTTGTTACAGTATTGTTTCGCTATCACTGTCTGTCTGTTCTTGATCTGTTCTTTGCCAATCGTAAGATTGAAACAGCTTTCGTCCCGAAGTATTAAACTATCGACATAGTCTTGTGTATGAAAAGTAAATGAACTATGAAATGTTATAAACTTCCACAGAAAAATCTTACTACTTAATATATTTTGTTAAGTGTGCAAAATAAACGGAACTTTAATTGAATGTAAAGCGCCAAATATAATGCGATTGGAACCAAACTAAACTTAATAATTAAACAGCAAAAACTCTGGAAATGCTAGTCGACAGGGAAAAAAAAAACGAAAGAAGGTTCAAACTAAGAGTTATATTTCGGCTTTAGATTCTCAACTGGGAATGAAAGAAAACCGTTATTTTAAATCCAAAGCCACTCGCAATCAGAAGAAATTATCGGAAACAGACAGTGACAATTGCAAAGGTAGCCTCGCTCTAAGTTAGCGTTGACTATCATCTGTGGTACTGCTCGAAGTAGTGATTAGGACGGTCATGATTGGTGTCTGATATCGAGATTACTCTCCCAAAGCCATGTTTCAAAAGTAGAGAACGTCCTGTTTCTACAAGTACACGGGAACCAATATATATATATATCTTCCTACACCTATTCTTTTTAAAAAGTTAAAATAATGATAGGAAATTCAACACAAAGTCAGCAGGTCAAAACTTTATGCGTGAAGTAGAGATATTTATTCTCGATTCGAAGCCTAAAATTGACGTGTAAATATCGATTTAAGGTTTAAAGTCAGGAATCTGTTTGTTTGTTGTTAAGCGCAAAGCTGCTCAATGAACTGTCTATGCTCTGTCCATCCCGTGTGTAGAAACAGCGTTATAAGACCTCAGACTCACCACTCACCCACTGCGAGGCAAGGCTTTCAATTCATATATAATTTCTGAATACAACTTTTCCCAGTTTCTTTTGCTCAGTGAAGCCTTTCGATTTATCGGTGTTATTGACACTCTTACAACATCACAGCTAACTATGAAATGTTTTACATTTCTTTGAGAAATCACCTTTAAAAGAATAAAACATATGTTTATGACCTTCGACTTCTTTCACCAATTAATAATCTGCACTTAAAAATGGCGTGTAGTTAGTCACGCAACTGCTATAATAAGCCTGTCAAGTATATTTACATATAACTATAAAAAACAAAACATGTTACATTGAACACTGAGATATAAACCGGAAATCGCAGGAAATCAAAATAAAGAGTTGTTGCGGATTAGAAAAGGACTTTCCTGTATCCGTAGAAATGTCTATAGTTATCCGATAGAGGGCTGTACGTCATCAGTGGCTTTTATTATTATTTCAATTTGAAACCTGCGTAATCTCCAACAGGATTGAAGTGGTGTTTTGCTGCCACGTAATCCTACGCTGTATAGTTTCTTTTGTTTTAGTAACTTACTAGCGAATAAATCGCCCTCTGACGAACAGCACCTTATTTGTCTTAGTAACCCCTTTATTGTAGCGTTTTTAGGGTAAAACAAACAAATCGGACGTTTGCTTGTGCTATCTTCCGGCCTCCCCATCATGGTAAAAAACAATTCATCATCCTTAAAGGTACTTGAGATTTATTGATTATGTCAATTCGTTTAATCCAAAGAAAACGAGGCTTTCCGCCCCGTCAGCTACGTTTTCTCCTGGTGGTAGTAGTCATTTCTGTTGTGTTTCCATTTAATTTCTTTTTGTGCCGATTAACAAACGTTTGCGTGTAGATTATTGGCATTATGCCAAAGCCTGCTTCAGGGATGATAACGGATTCCACAGTGGTGGTTCTCCTCGAGGAGGTTTATCCAGCCCATTTCTTTCGGATTTCTGTGATGAATATCAGATGATAACTCTCTGTTCACGTCAACATAAATAAAAGGTACAAGTTGAATGTCTTTCCTTTTTTTTATTGTTATTTTTTGACGTCTAATGTTATGTGGTAACGGTAATAACTTCCCAAGTGTTGGAATCAGGATTATCTTACTGTGAGTTGGAGTAAGGAAAATGCTTAAGGTTTTTTTATGTGAAACTTGTAAAAGTTAGTAACAATTTCTATGTAGGATCATAGCCATCAATTTACTGTACAATAATTTTAAAATGATACTCCAGCTCGCCACCCACCTAGACTGTCATAGACCAATAAAATGCAAATACAATGGAAAATCATTATGATTTACTTATGAATATTCTATCAATTTTTGTTTCATTGTTTTTGTAAAATCTCACAGACTAGTGCTGGTTTGCAGACTGGTGGCTAAGAAATACTGCACTAGAGGGATGGCAGCTGGTCAACACCTTCCATTGCTAACTTATTGACTACTCTAATCGAATCAAATAATGTGATTTGACCATCACTCTTAAAATATATCACAGCCTCAAAGTATAATGGGAGATGAACTAAGGAACCTTGGGTTGACAGTCCAGCATGCTAACCACTGGGTTGAGCTTGTTAACTTGTATGAAGAATACTATTGTCACCTTACTTGTAAAGCTTAGAAAGACAGAATTACATGTATGACCATGGTCATCATTGTCACCTTACTTGTAAAGCTTAGAAAGACAGAATTACATGTGTGACCATGGTCATCGGCTTGTTTACATGTGTGACCATGGTCATCAGCTTGTTTACATGTGTAACCATGGTCATCAGCTTGTTTACATGTATGACCATGGTCATTAGCTTGTTTGTTCTAAAGGTTTGGTGGTTTTTGTGAAACATTGTTAATATCTGTTGTGCAAAATATGTCCATGTGAATGAAGTTAGTAGCTCAATAAAGCTGTGAAGAGCAAAGAATGTTGGAATGATACTGAATATCCACTGTTTATATATGTATATATATATTCTGAAAAATTAAATTTAAGCTAAGACTCTTTTATCATCACCATGGCTTATTGTTGGAGTATCTCTTATTGGTCATGTTTTTTTAGGATTTAACAGCCATAGGCATCAAGAAACCCACTCACCGTCGCAGGCTTAAAGCTGAAATTGACAGATTACATATATCAGATTGTCTACCAGAGTACAAACCTGTAAGTTGTTGTTCTTTTTCAAGTAAAAATTTATTGTATTGAGGCTTTTGTGTTTTTTCATTGCTATACAAATACATATATAGGATAAGTTAAAGTCGAAACACAATTAAAAACATTTTTTAATTCAAGCCAATCTACGGCTTCTATAATGTGGACTCTACATGTTCCGACGTTTACTACAATATCATCAGGAGTAAACTTGCAAGACTTGAGTGTCATATTTATTCCTTCTTAATTGGTCATGTGACCTGTGTGTAAGTTTCGATTTCTGCATAAATCTCAGAGGAGGTCCTGCCACATTTTTATACAGATATTCCAAGGAACTCCCTCTCTATTTAATAATTCATGATCTTCTTTAAAATTTTATTATTTCTAAGGATTCGCGAATATTATTGGCTCTAATATCCTTTGGTTGAGTCGGTATTACTGATTTTCCCCATAATATCTTATGTTCTGTTTTTTGTACATGTTCTACTATGGTCGAATTTTCAGTCCTTTTATTTCTTACACATTCCTTATGTTCTGCTAAACGATATTTTAAATTAAGCTTTGTCTGTCCAATATAAACACTTCCACATTCACATTCAATCTTATAAATTCCGTTAACTGCAATTATCTTTAGTATTACCTAAAATTTGTTTTAATTTATTCATTGGTTTAAATATAGATTAAAATATTTGTTATTTTTTAAGCACCAAATAAACTAGAAGTTAAACATATGACAATACTAAACATTCCTTTTTAATTTTACCATAAGGTAATACCATGATCCATTATTACTACATCAGTGAATTTCTTAACTGCCCTATCTGTAATAGTTTGGTTAAATCATCTTTCAAAATCTAGATATTTCATTAGTAACTGCTCATTTTTTAAGTCCTCTTGTTTTGTACATATCTTCAAAATTACGTTAACATAAGTGTAAAATTGTGTTTCAATATGACGTGATTCCAGGTGTGGTGGCATAAGATCAGAAAAAGGTTTCTGAGAGATATATATATATTTCTAAATTCCCTTGTTCATTCCTTTTTACCAATACATTTAAAAAAGGCAAACTATTATTTTTCTCAATTTCATAGGTAAATTGTATAGAATGTTCTATGCTATTCAAATAGCTTGCAAATACTGTTAATGCCTTGTTACCATGTCTTTAGAAATGATAAAATTTTAAAAAAGATCACAACTTATTAAATAGAGATGAAGATCAAGTGAATATCTGTGTAAGAATGTGGCAGGACCTCCTCTGAAATTTATGCAGAAATGTAAACTTAAATACAGGTCACATAACCTAGCTAAGAAGGAATAAATATGACACTTATGTATTGCAAGTTCATTCCTGATGATGATGATGATGTGGAAAACGTCAAAACATGTCCACATTTTAGAGGCCATAGATTGGTCTGAATTTAAAAATATTTTAAATTGTGTATTGATCTTAATGTTGTGTGTTATTTATTTATTATTTTTAAATTATACACAAGTGCCAAGAAAATAATATCTACTCTGTTGTATACTAGTTTCATTAAAAAAAACTTTTAGCTAAACATAAATATAAAATTGATAAATGAAAGCAAATGGATATGGACATAAGTTGTTGTTTATACAAAATTTGGCTTTTCTACAGTCTTGAGCCAGCATCAATAAGTATGATGTAAAATTATGGAATAGATAATTGTATGTGCTACATAGACACTGAAGACAAAGAAAACAGTTGTATATATCAAAATTAATAACCATATAATTGGTTCATTATATTTCAGTTTAACAACAGTTTTTTTAAAATTTTCTTACTGAATTCTATTTAATAGGTAAGATCATTGTATAAAAATCACTGTCCAATCAAGCAATGATGTTCAAGCTTCTCACATCTTTGTAAAGTCACATAATTACTATGGAAAAAAATATTCCAAATACAGAGCAATAGTGAAAATGTTAATATTCATTGTGTGATTTTTTTCTAAGAGTATGTAGGAAAAGAAAACATTTTCAAAAACATAAGAGAAATGGGTAAATATATTTTTATAAAATAAAAAACTTCTGTAGGAGTGAAATTAAAAACATTTTTTGCAATTCTTTTTTAAGTTATTAAACCTATGTTAATAGTAGTTATATACAATGAATCTGAATGTTGATCATGATAAGCTATCGTACACTACTGCATCGTGGACACAGTTGCATGTTCTAAATATTCTTTCTTTGGTAGGATACATTATTACAATGGCTTCAGTTACTCAGATTGGAGGAGTATTATGAAACCCTTTGTCACCAAGGTTATAATTCTGTTGACCGGGTCACAGAATTAACATGGGAGGATCTGGAGGAAATTGGTATTCAGAAACTTGGTAAGGTTTAGTGCATTCTCTTCTTGTTGCATTTTGAAAACTAGATTTAATATGTTTGTTGCTTTAATGTACTCCGAGAAGGAATTGGTTTAGTACAATCTGTCTTATGTTCTTTTTCTTTAAGACTTCAATAATGATATGTAAGAAAAAAACCTGGATTGAATTAACTTTTAATGTCTTTAAAATTTAGATACTATGAGCTTTCGGTCCCTTTACCCAGTACCTTTAATGACTTATACATTGTACAGTTGCCCATCGAAGGCTTTAGGGTAGAGATTAAATTATTGCAGCAAATATAAATTTAAATAACATTGTCAAAAGATATACCTTTAATCTACATTAGTAAATTTTATTGTCAGATATAAGTAGGTTATACCTACAACTGACAAGGAATTGGTATATGAGACAGATTTTTGGTGTTGTTGTTGAGTTTGTTATCTCAGGAATATAAGAAGGTAAATCTAGGTTAAATTCAGTGACTTAAAATTTAAAAGTATGTCTCATTTTGATCTTAAAATTTTTAATATTGCAATAAGCTGGAGAAATAATATTAAATTGACAAACAATGATTATAAATATAATGAATTGGTATATTTTTGGGGGTACGTACTACATGTTTTGACAGACCACTGATACCTGAAGAAGACAGTATCCCCCACCCACCCAAACTAAACCACTTCATTATTCTTATAATCGTTGTTTGTCAGTTTAGTATTATATTAGCTAAATGTGCTTTCATACACAAGCTGGAGAAGCTTAAGTGTGAAACAGAATTGAAAACTATCCTATCTGCTTTTAGTATAAAAAATTCAGTAGAAATTATAGTTTTTTAAAATCACTGGAGATCAGACGTCTTTTTTTTTTCAATTTTGTGGACTTTCAGGACATCAGAAAAAGATTATGTTAGCCATAAAAAGAATTAAAGATCTAAACAGTGGGATTCGTCGTCCTAGTCACATCAGAGACATTCAGCAACATGGTTTGGATATAGGTGGTGGAGCTGTTGGTGTTTTACCTCATCCGACATCTTTAGGTAAGAAAATATGTAATTTTTCATCACTTCCTTAAATAATTCAAGAAAGTATAGGAACAAAATGTAAAAACTGTTACTTGTAGTATATTTAACTTTACTAGATCATTATGGTGCAATGTTGTTGGTTTTTTATTCATATCTTTAAAGACTTTTTAATAAGTTTGTACCTATGCCACAAATTTAATAATTACATTTTCTTATTCAGCTTTTGTCTTCTTCTGAATCCATCAGATATATAGCTACTTTACTTTAAATTGTAAGTTTTGAGCCAAAATCTTCATTATTGAGTACAGCAGTACTTAATAGTAGGGATCAACTAGGATTCCAAATAATTCACGCACTGAAAAATCACCCTATTGAATTCCAAAGCGAAAAACTGACCATTCGAAGTATTGGTTACGATATATTACGCACATATATACA